TATATATTCATTTTTTAACTATCACATTATATGTATATATATATATATATAAAACAAAGTTATCTCGACATTTTACAATACCCCGTTCATTTAAGTCGTCTGCAATGGATTACACTCAAATCTATAGAACAGAGGACGAATCTCAAATGCTCGATAAAACAAAGTTATCTCGATATTTTACAATACCCCGTTCATTTAAGTCGTCTGCAAAGGATTTATCGGTCTTAATATTTGAAATTATCATTCACGGATACACAAGGCAGGTTTTTCTCCCGCACTAATAAGGCCGTCTATTATGACTTGGCAGCACATGAGTTTGTGTGTGCAAAGATTGTGTGCTGGACAGTGCACATATCGATAGAAAGTTTAGAATACGATTCATATCATGTCGCAAGGACTTTTATTCTCAGATAACATTCTAAGCATCTCTAGTTCGACGAGTTATTTCCGGAGCCTCAGTGCGTGGCTGGATACTTGCTGTGCAAAGTGGTCGTGGCAATGCGCCAATCAATGTCGACTGACAGCTCAGCCCATTCCACAGACCAACAATTAGATTAGGGCAAAAACCCTAAAACATTTAGGTTAGGGTGAAAACCCTAAAACAATTAGGTCAGGGTGAATGCCGCTGACAAATATGTCAAGATAGACTACCGGAATATCATCACCAGTGTGGTTGTGTGTGTGCGAGCCGTCTGCTTCACCCATTGCACATCTATGCACTGGCGCCTCTGGAAGGCGTTGGGGCGTAGTACGACAATATGACCGATGACACGTCCACGTGGCCCGCGCGTTCATGACTCATCGCACTTGCGATTACTACCTGTCGGAGCCAAGAGATGAATTCGGTTGCTCACCGTAGATGTACGCAGCTACCAAGCCACCACACAACCACTAGAACAGGAGCAACAAACCGCGTCTCAGATTACATTTGCATCCTCGCGTCTATCGGTTTGAAAGGCTCTGCGGTCGAACGAAGGACACTTCATAGCAGCACGCCACTCTATCGACGCCGTTGATAGTACCATACGAGCTCATAGGATTGAGATGCGAGTAGAACATCTCCAATCCCTGATCGCTCATGGCGCGTACGGTGTTGTACCTGAGCACGCAGGACGATTGAAGGGAAGGTGTGAGGATCTACGGCGGCATGCAAATGACTGATGCATGCCCAGAGGCTATACATCATCCAACATGTGCACACAACAAGGGTTTTAGGATTTTAGGGTTTACAACCTAACATTGGCGTGTAATAGCACTGTCAAGCGTGCGACTGCAGGCATGAAACAATCACAGTGGTATCAAAAACGCTTATGTATGTATATGTACGCGTAAGCTTGTGTACGTCCATATAAATATATATAGTGTGTGTTACGCCACGTGTGACGACGTATTTATGACCGGTGTGGCTTGCTCAGCACTGCACGGCAACATATAATGAGTTGCAAAAGGACACAACACAACGTGTATACCTCATAAGCCAATATCAGATGAGACACAACACAACACTACACAACGGGTACACCTCATCATACCAGTGCTCGACACTCTCCTGTCCTTGGTACAGATGCTGGAAGTAGTGTACCTCGAATATGAACTGATCTACATGTTTGAGGGCTCCACTGCTAATCATTTCAGGGATGGCCTATAGTACAAGCGGAAACGGTTAGGCACTCGCCGATAGTAAGTATAGCATGAACCCTAAAACCTTGAACACGCGTTGCTCTCTGTCTGATTAGAATCGTCCAGACAGGCCACAGTACAAACACCACACAGTATGCACTGTGGTATAGCTGTGCCGTGGGTGGTCATTTGCATGTGTAGCGTATGTGTCTATGGCTATGAGTGGTACATATACACTGTGGTATAGCTGTGCCATGGGTGGTCATTCGCATGTGTAGCGTATCTGTGGTATAGCTGTGTCATGGGTGGTCATTCGCATGTGCAGCATATGTGTCTATGGCTATGAGTGGTACATATACACAGTGGTATAGTTGTGCCATGGGTGGACATTCACACGTGCAGCGTATGTGTCTATGGCTAGGAGTGGCACATATACACTGTGGTATAGCTGTGTCATGGGTGGTCATTCGCATGTGCACCGTATGTGTGTATGGCTATGAGTGGCACATATACACTGTGGTTTAGCTGGCCAGTGGAAGCTATAGCAGAGCCATTAGGACAAACATGCCAGGTTGTAATACATAAAAACATATCACAGGAGAAGACCTTAATTATACCCCCCTCTCCCAGTAACAGATCGTCTGGTGCGTACTCACCTCCCACTCAAAGCCCTCCACATCCATTTTCAGCACAGTGAGACGTTCCACCTGCAGGTTCTTCATGCTTGTGCCCAGTGTGGCCACTTTCCACTTCTGCTGTACACCGTCGCGCATGCGCACACCGTCAATGCTCTCGTCGTCATTGGCGGCAATACCCTATTGGGTCACCGTATAAACGTGGTCATCAAGTGGATGGTTAGGGTTTTAGGGTTTCAAGCACACTGTACATGTCACATCTATGGTCTAGTTAAACCAATCCGTTAATGCTTTGGGTTGCTCACGGGATCTAAGTAGACATTAATGACTGTAGTAGCAAGGTTTATCTTTATATACGTAAACCGTAATGAGTGTAGTGGCAAGGTTTATCTTTATATAGGTAAATTTTAATGAGTGTAGTAGCAAGGATGATCTTTATATACGTAAACATTAATGATTGTAATAGTAAGGTTTATCTTTATATACGTATTTATTATTAGTAGCAAGGTTTATCTTTATACAAGTAAACATAATGAGTGTAATAGTAAGGTTTATCTTTATATACGTAAACATTAATGAGTGTAGTAGTAAGGTTTATCTTTATACAAGTAAACATTAATGAATGTAGTAGTAAGGTTTCTCTTTCACAAGTAAACATTAATGAGTGTAATAGCAAGGTTTATCTTTATATACGTAAACATCAATGAGTGTAGTATTAAGGTTTATCTCTTTACAAGTAAACATCAATGAGTGTAATAGCAAGGTTTATCTCTATACAAGTAAACATTAATGAGTGTGGTAGTAAGGTTTGCCTTTATATACTTTTAAACATCAATGAATGTAGTAGTAAGGTTCTGGATAGTAAGATAATACAGATACATACCACAGGATAGTAGCGGACATTCGCATCGACATCTTTCTCCTCCCACTCCATACTGGGATCAAACGATGCCACTTTGCATTTGCCTCTGGCCGCCACCTCTTGGTCCCATGAGAAGTCGTAGTCAATGCCAAACGAAAAGACTCTGCAACAACAAAGATAAAACAAAGACAAAACCAAAAACCCCCCCAAAAAAAACAAATCTATGAGCAACAGCAGAGAACAAGACACGACCTTAGGAAAGTGCAGAGGGTTTTAGGGTTTTAGGATTTTAAGGTCAGTGCAGAGGGGAAGCAGTCACTGCAAACGGCCACTGCGTCAGTTGAGGGTAAGGTGGGCATTTAGGGTTTTTAGGGTTTGTACATGTAAGCAGGTGCGGGTGGGAGTGCAATTGAGTGCAACACATCTGTTTGATATGTGTGCGTTATAATCTGGATGTACAATTTAAAGGGAGTATACATAACCTATGCGTGCTATGTACAAGTAGGTCTGGCAGAACAATGCATGTGTGCATGTACAATATATGTGCGCATGTAAAATCTCTGCGTAATTACTGGTGTCAACTGATAGCTCACATACTTGCAGGTGTCACAGGTGGTGACAACTGATCGATCACATACTTGCAGGTGTCACAGGTGGTGACAACTGATCGCTCACATACTTGCAGGTGTCACAGGTGGTGTCATCTGATCACTCACATACTTGCAGGTGTCAGTCCAGCTGTCGAAGCACGTGTTCCATTGGCCGTCTCCTCCCTCAATGCCTCCGAGAACTTCGCGATCTTTGCAGTCGTACTGTGAAGGTAGATGGTTTTTTTATTATGTTAAATAATTCATTATTATACTAAGATGATTTGATATTAATGTCATTATATTGAGATGATTTGTTATTATTTTAAAATGATTCGATATTATTGACAGTATATTGCGATGATTCGTTAGTACTACTGCAACTGTAGATGATTGTTATTAATGTTATTAGTTGTTCATAAGTACTGTGTCAATTGGACTATAGTTGTACATAAGTACTATGTCAATTGATGGTCCTTCTATAGATATGATGAGATTTACATGAATGCCGAAAGCCAGATAGAGTTCTAGGGTTTTCAAGTTTAGAGTTGTGGGTTTAGAGACGTTTGCGTTAAGCACATTAAATCCGTACTACTACGCGATATAGTACTGAGCACAAATGACGTTGAGATTACAATTAGTTTTGACCACCACACGACCACAGACAGCACTACAGTACGTTTCGAGTCTCTGAATGAGTACCATATACACTCAAAAGGTCACAAGGTGCGTGCGAACGACAACATCAACAGTAAACTGGTTATACACTCGCAAGCTCACAAGGTGTGTGCGAACGACAACATCAACAGTAAACTGGTTATACTCTCGCAAGCTCACAAGGTGTGTGCGAACGACAACATCAACAGTAAACTGGCTATACACTCACAAGGTCACAAGGTGTCTGCAAACAACAGCATCAACAGTAAACTGGTTATACACTCACAAGCTCACAAGGTGTCTGCGAACGACAACATCAACAGTAAACTGGTTATACACTTACAAGGTCGCAAGGTGTGTGCGAACGACAACATCAACAGCAAACTGGTTGCCGCGCTCACACGTGTTTGTTTGTAAAGATATTAACCTTCTCTGAAGAAGCACACGGGGACAAACGCATTTACTCAGAGAAAGCAGCAGAGCACCTACTCCACCTGTAGTGCGTGTGCATTGATGGAATGTATAACAGTTTGAGAGCACTTACCGTGGGTGTACGCGTCAGTTTAAGAAGCGAAAACAACTGACTTTGTGGGTCCAAGGCTTTGAATTCCTCTGGAGTGTGCAGCCATTCTGATACCAATGCGAAAGACACGACAAAATGAGTACCAATATCACCTGAGGATCATTTATTATGTACTACACGAGCATCATTATATGGACACATGGAGTGTCAACCCAACAACCACAACCACACCTACACTAACTATAACATACATCTAAATATGCCACAAGCGGAAGTGAGATACAACGACACAGATGTGTGAGAGCACATCATAAAACCACATACCCTCTACATTAGATTGACTAGTAACACCAAATACCCTCTACATTAGATAGACTAGTAATACCACATACCCTCTACATTAGACAGACTAGTAATACCACATACCCTCTACATTAGATAGACAAGTATCAACATATACTCTCTACATTAGATAGACAAGTAATACCACATACCCTCTACATTAGATAGACTAGTAGTACCACATACCCTCTACATTAGATATACTAGTAATACCACATACCCTCTACATTAGATAGACTAGTAATACCACATACCCTCTACATTAGATAGACAAGTATCAACATATACTCTCTACATTAGATAGACAAGTAATACCACATACCCTCTACATTAGATACACAAGTATCACCACATACCCTCTACATTAGATAGACTAGTAACACCACACACCCTCTACATTAGATGGACTAGTAACACAACATTCCCACTACATTAGATAGACTAGTAATACAACATACCCTCTACATTAGATAGACAAGTCATACCACATACCCTCTACATTAGATACACAAGTATCACCACATACCCTCTACA